TGGATTATACTACCACTGTCCTAAACTCTCTAGCCAGAGCCAAAGAGAGTAAGCAGATTCTAGGAGGAATGAGACAGCTAATTTACCTGTCAAACTGAATCCGTCAGCTAGAAAATTTGATTTTAATTTAGCATTAAACAGACAAGATTGGGCCAAGTGGCTTCTTAGAAAAGACATAAAAGACAGGAGTCAATCAGGAAAGAAAAAAAAAAGGAACTAAGAAAATAAAAGCCCAATTCTCCATATCTTTGCATGTAGGAAGGCATATATAATTGTATGACCTTTGTCCTCATTTTAAACTTTAACCCTTTCTAAAAGATGTCACAGGCCACCTACTTCTACAGCCTTGTTTTCCAGATGAGGAAGATACAAGGAGGTTAAGTGACCTGACTTGCCCAGAGCCACACAGGTAGTAACCATTAGAGACTTCATTTAAACCCAGGTCTTCTGACTTCATACCCATTGCTCTACTATACTGCTAAAATCTGCATCCTTTTCTATAGGCAAAAGTGAGTTCAGGAAAATGATCCAACCATTCTGGAGAGCAATTTGGAACTATGCCCAAAGGGCTATAAAAATGTGCATACCCTTTGCCCCAGCAATAGCACTTCTAGGGATGTATCCCAAAGAGATCATACAAATGGGAAAAGGACCCACATGTACAAAAGTATTTATAGCAGCTCTTTCTGTGGTGGCAAAGAATTGGAAACTGAGAGGATGCCCATCAATTGGGGAATGGCTGAACAAGTTGTGGTATATAAATGTAGTGGAATACTATTATGATATGAGAAATTATGAGCAAACTGATTTCAGAAAAACCTGGAAAGACTTGTAAGCTCTGAAGCTGAGTAAAATGAGCAGAACCAAGAGAACATTATACAACAGATATGTTGTGCAATGACTAATATTGATAGATTTAACCCTTCTCAGAATACAAGGATCTAAGACATCTCCAAAGGCCTCATGATGGAAAATGCTACCCACAAAGAAGAAAGAACTATGGAGTTTGAATGCAGATCAAAGCATACTATTAGCTATTTTTTTTCTTCTGTTGTGTTTTGTTTCCTCTTTCTGGTGATTCCTCCTATTGGGTCTAGTTCTTACTTACAACATCACTAATGTGAAAATACATTTAACAGGTGTATATATATATATATATGTATGTATATATATGTCTGTATGTATATGTATATATAATATATATATATATATACATATATATGTATGTATGTATAGCCTATATCAGATTGCACGTTGTCTTGGGGAGGGAGGTGGGAAGGGAGGGGGAGAAAAAATAATAAGAAAAAAAGTGAGTGCAGGAAACCCAAATCAAAAAGAGAAAGAAAAATAGCAGCAAATAGGGGACATTAGCATGCCAAGTCCCAGGTTTGCCGACAAGAACAAACACTAGGTTGGTATCTCTTGTATGTAAGACACTGTGCTAGGTTCATGAGTGATATGAAGAAGTGTGAGGCATGGTCCTAATCTCAAGTAGCCTAGGTTCTTGCTGGAAAACAATAGTTAAATAGCAATTCAATATAATAAGGTTGTTGTTGTTCATCCTTCATTTTTTTTTTTTTGGTGAGGTAGTTGGGGTTAAGGGACTTGCCCAGGGTCACACAGCTAGTAAGTATCAGGTGTGTGAGGCCGGATTTGAACTCAGGTTCTCCTGATTCCAGAGCCAGTGCTCTATCCACTGTGCCACCTAGCTGCCCATTCCTCCTTTATTTTCAAAAAAGACCAATGACATCACAAGTGATGCCTTGATTTGGGTGTGAATTGGATTTAAGTGAGGCAGAGTTCCGCAGTCATCAGCCTCACTGTCTCTGCCTGAGTCATCAAAGTCCGGGCGGAAGGACAGAAGTCAAGACAACTGGTGATGGCCCAGGATGCAATGGGATGACCAGGGTGTCTTCTATGCATGACAAGCTCTGAGCCCTTCACAAGCACCTGCTTCAGCCACCTTCATGGCCATTGGAACAAATTGTTCTCATTCACCCATTCCACCAGGGAAAATCTTCACATGCCTGGGGTAGACATTCCCCTAACTCACTGACAGGTTTGAGGCCTATCGGTTACCCTCAACTTGGTTTAAGCCTGTCTATCAAGACGGTTTACTAGGGTATGGCCTCTGTACAAGCTATAGTTTCTTGGAGCCACAGGGGAGAGCCGAGAGGTAGACACCAAAGATGAATGAGCAGCCCTAAAAAGGCTCATCAGGCCCTCACAGCAGAGGTGTTAGTTGGCCCTGAACACCCCTACACACTATATGCATAAGGTAAGGTACATTACAAGGCAGTACATGATTAAGTGACAAAGGGACATAGGTAAATGCTATGAGTTTAGAGGCAGAAAATACAACAGGCTTCCCAGAGGAGGGAAGACTTGAGCTGGGCCCTGAAGAATAAGCTGCATTTGGATAGGCCAAGAGGGGAAGGAAGAATATTCCATGTCATTAGAGGTGAAAGAAGAATGTGTGTCAAAATACAGTGTCAAAAAAATGCAAGGCATTTTGGGAAAACAGTTGAGAGATTAATTTAGCTGGCATAGTTTCTGGTAGGGGAATAGAGGAAAATCAGAGTAAAAAGATAGGTTGAGACCACATTGTGGAAGGCTTTCAATAGTCAGGCTAAGAAATTTGAACTTTATCCCTTAAGGAACAGGGAATCACTTAAAGAGTTTTTAGCAAGAAGATACGTGATGAAAACTGTCATAGGAAGATTAATTTGGCAATTATATAGCAAATTTTGGTTTGAATCTTAGCTCTGCTACTCTCCATGTCTGTGTGACCTTGGGCAAGTCCCTGGGCCTCAATCACCGCATCTAAAAAATGAGAGATTTGAACAAGATGATGTCTAAGTTCCCTTGGAGAGGTTAGTGAGGAGAACACTGTTGTTGTTATTGTTTAGTCATTTTTCAGTCATGCCTGACTCTTCATGATCCCATTTGAGGTTTTCTTGGCAAAGACGCTGGGGTGGTTTGTCATTTTCCTTCTCCAGTTCATTGTATACATGAGGAAACTGAGGCAAACAGGGTTAAATGACTTGCCCAGTGACACACATGTAGTAAGTGTCTGAGGCTGGATTTGAACTCAGAAAGGGGAGAACACTCTATCTACTGCTATCATCGTACTACCTAGCTGGCCCTAGGAGAACATAGCCTTTGTCTAAATTTAAAGATGAGCAGAGCCTGAAATAGAATGGGAAAAGAAGGAATAGGGAAGGAAGAGGTTCTAGAGTTATCTTCAGGAGATAACTTGTTGATTGTCTACATGTGGGATCATTGGGAGGGAAAGGAGAGAGGGAGTAAAGTGTCAAGGCTCAGAGCTTGAGGTTGACTGGAAGAACAAAAGTAGCATTCACAGCTATGGAACTGGTGGGGGGGAAGAGAATGAGGAAAGATACAATTGGTTTTAAAAACTTTCAAGTTTGAAATGACGGTAGAACTTCAAACAGATTACATCCAATAGACAATTGGACATACATGTGAGAAGGTACATAAATAATTGTCCATAAAGAGACTGTATTTCAGTTGAATAAAAGCATGTCAACTGATTTTAAAAAAAAAGTTGTGGTTAGAAAATGCCCATCGTGTTTCCATAGGGAAAATAGAATCATAAATTGTTAGAGTTGGAAGAGACATTAGAAGCTCTCTAGATCAAGCCCCTCATAAAAACTCCTTTGGATTTCTCTATAATAGCCAAACAGAGTTTGATCAGTATTTGAAAACTTGCTATGAATACATTATTAGAAAGGTGAAATATCTTTAGCTCAGCTGGTCGGTCAACAAGCATTTATTAAAGGCTTTCTGTATGCCAGGCTCTCTGCTAAGAGCTGAGGATATAAAGAAAGGGTGGGGGAGAACAGTCCTCACATCTCAAGGAGCTTGGGTTCCAATGGCATCCCTTTCTCTGCCCGAATACGTCTAAAATGGAAACAGGACCCACAATTCACTGCCACCAGCTACCCACAGTTTTCAAAAATGAGGTATATGATTCCTCAGCTGGGCTAGAGGTGGAAGAAACAGCTCACCAGACCTAAGGGGAGTCAAGTCAATAAGCATTTATTATACACCAACAATGGCGGCAGACATAGCGCTGAGTGTGCAAAGTACTATGGATACAAAGAAAGGCAAAAGCAGGGTCTCTGCCTCAAGGAACTTCAAATCTAATGAGGGAAACAACATGCTAGTAACTACGTACAAACAAGACATAAACAGGATAAATTGAAAGCAATCTCAGAGGGAAGGCAGAGAGGGATGGAAAGAAGAGGCTCTCCAGCACTCTATGTGGTTAGATCAACAGTTTCTCTTTTATTGTTTGATTTTCTCTGTCCTATGCAATGTGTCTTCACATTTAACTGCATATCTTTGCCATCACTTGATCACCCTTTTCCTTCTAACTTTCCCAAAATCACTTCTACTTCTGTTGATCATCTTCCTTTGATTACTCTCCTTACTTTCCTACCTCCTTTACTCCTTTATCTGTGTCCCCATTTTAAGCCTTGTCTTAGGAGCAACTAGATTGAGGAAGAGAAAATAGATTTGTTCATCTTGACCCTGAAGGCAGAACTAGGGGCAGTGGTGGGGGAGGTGGGGGCGGGGAGGAGAGATGGAACTCAAAACTTTAAAAAAAGTTTAAAAATTGTTTTAACATGTAATTGGGAGAAAATAAGATATAAAAAATAGAAGATACCATCTCAAAAAGAAAAGAAGAGGAAAGGAGGGGGAGGAAGCTACAGTGGAGCCAATTTAAGCTTTAGGTAAGGAAAAACTTCCTAGCATTTTGAGCCACCCAAGAGTGGAATGGGTTGCCTTAGTGGGCTTCCTCTTACTGGAGGCCTTAACACAAAAGTTGGAGGGCCACTTTTCTATTCCGTTTAGAGGAGAATTCTTGTCCAGGTGTGGATGGGATGCTGAGATCCCTTCCAACTCTAAAATCCTGTGGTTCTGTGATGGTCTATATCCTTCCCTCTGTCTTAGGAGCTGACTGCTTTTTTCAGATACATAGCTGTGGTCATGCCAGTTCGTTACCAATACAGCTCTAGCCAGAGCTCCTGCCGGCGGGTTTCTTTCATGATTGCTGTGGTCTGGGTGTTGGCATTCGCAGTCTCTTGTCCTCTGCTCTTTGGACTCAACACAACAGGTAACAACAATACTTCATCCTTCAGAGTTTCTGAGATTTGAATTGTGCAAAAGTCATGGAGATATTGCTTTACAATAAAGGCTTTCTGTATGTAAAGATACAGATCTGTACAAAGTACAAATAAATGTGTCGATGTATGTGCAGTGCAGTGCTATAAAAGGAGCATTGGGTTGGGGCAGTCAACAAATTCTGTCACTCACTGACTAGCCTCAGGCAATTCACTTAATTTGAGCCTTGGTTTCAAGGGCATGCTTGAGCCAGCTCAAGCTGATTGTTAAATCTTCAATGTCAGCATTTACATCTTGGAAATCAGCAAAGGCTACAAATCAAGGATTCATTTATTAATAGTCTTGTTGAATATCTAGACTTATGAAAGTGAGAGAAAAAACTAATAATGCAAGTTAAACTTAGAAGTGAGTCTTGTGTACATTTTTTGGGTGGGGAGAGCTGGTTGTTACACACTTAGCATACGCCTATTCAATTTTCTCATCAGTAAATGGAGACAATAATGCTTGTACTCCCTATCTCACAGGGAAATTTTGAGGAAAATATTTTGTAAATAACAATAATAACAGTAATAGCAATAATAGCTAGCATTTATATAGTGCTTTAAAGTTTATTTACATATGTTATCTCATTTGATTCTCTTAATAGTACTGTTATTTTGCCCATTTGACAGTTAAGGAAATTGAGGCTGAGAATGTTAAGTGACTTACTTGGGGTCATGGAACTAGTAAGTGTCTAAGGCATTTGAATTTGAACTCAGCTCTTCCTTATTCCAAATCTATCCCTTTATCCACTGCAACCATCCTAAAGCATTATATAAATGCAAAGTTACTAATAGACGACCTATGCTATAATTAGCATTAGTTGATACTCAGAGTTGAAGAAGTTTCTGATCTCTGGTTCAGCTAACCAATCAATAAGCAGCTATTACATGCCTACTCTGTTTCTAAGAACTTTGCCATTAGAAGATGTCATATTCAACAAATACCCAGCGGAACTTCTAGAAATGTCCAGGAATCCAGGAAGAGCAGGAGGGATGGGGATCCTGCCCTGCCCTGTTTAGTGATGTCTGACTTGCTGAATGCTTAAAATAAAAACATCATAGGTTAATGTAGATTTTCCCAAAAAGCCCTTGCCTAAAAGGGAAGAATCCAGCTTTGAGAAAGCAGGAATGGCTGTCTTCCTGTCTTCCTCTTTCTGCCTAAGAGAAAACAGGGAGAGATAGAGGAACAGGGATGATTTTGAGAGTCAGGAGGAATGGGAAATGGGCTTTTGAGAAAGGAGAGAAAAGAAGAAGAAGAAGAAGAAGAAGAAGAAGAAGAAGAAGAAGAAGAAGAAGAAGAAGAAGAAGAAGAAGAAGAAGAAGAAGAAGAAGAAGAAGAAGAAGAAGAAGAAGAAGGCACTTTATTTAGAGAGACAGGAATTTCTGTTCTTTTGTGTGTGTTTGCTGGGGAGGGATGAGGTATCTGTCTCTGCCTGTTTTTCTGTCTTTCTCCATCATATTTGTACATCTGTCTGGCTCTCCCCCATCTGTATGTGCGCCTCTTTCTCTCTCTCTCTCTCTCTGTGTATAAAATGTACATGATTTTTGCATGTCATCTCCATGAATGTGAGCTCCTTGAGAGCAAATATGGTGGGAGGTTTTCCCTTTCTTTATATCCTTAGAACTAACACAGTAAGGAGCACATAGTAAGTGCTTAATTGCTTGTAATTAAATGATTGATGCATTAGTCTGAAGTGTGTGGTGGCACTACAATGTTTCACTCAGAAAAGCAGAGCCTCAGGCAATTTCATCCAAGTTAACAGGGTGACAAATTGTCCTACATTTTGGGATCCACCATATCCAGAGAAAGAAAATTAAATTACCCATAGACCTGAGAGGGGTATAAATTGGGGAAAGTACTAAGTTAAAAGGATTCCCCTTAATCAACAAGCATTTAAGTGATTACTATGTGCCAGGCTCTGGGCTAAGCCCTAGGGATACAAAGAAAGGCCAAAACAGTCCCTGATCTCAAGGAGCTCATAGCCCTCAGCCCCTTCTTCTCTACTGTCTTCCCAACAATAGGTAGGAAGAGGAAAAAGTAAGTCCCTCTAGTGATACAGATACCACTTCTATTCCCTTCCAGGCTTCCAGTCCAACTAAGATGCACAGATAAGTGAGAAGGCTGAGCTAGGTTACTAAAGAGTCTTTAGAAGAGATCTGTCTACCCTGAGGCTGTGTCTGCAGCACCTCCTCTAATCTGAACTGGTTCCTTGCTCATTGACCCTTGACCTCATCCTGCCAAAAAAAAAATAGTAATAATCCTAGAAAGAGATATGTAGCACACCCCCTTACGTGCTCTAAAAAACCCTCAGGCACTAAAATTCATGTGGCTGTAATTCGTTCTGAAAGGGGCAGGTTATATATGTCTATAATTGAGAAATACAGTTTAAATTGGTAGAGTGGAACTATTTTTTTATTATTATTATAGCAGCAGTGATAATGTTATTGTTATTGCCCAAGTTTATATAAGCTTTTAAGGTTTACTCAAGACTTTCCTCATGGAAATGAATCCAATTCAACAAGCATTACTTAATCAGCTGTTATGTGCAAGGCATTGCTAGGCACTGGAGATACAAAGACAAAATTTTAAAAGTCTCTGAGCTCAGGGCATTTACATTTTATTGGGCAGATGCCACATCTGTATATATATGTAAATACAAGGTAATTTGAAGAAGGAGAGAGCCCTAACAATCAGTGGAACTAGGAAAGGCTTCCTATAGTGAGTGGCTCTATTATCCTCAGTTTACAGAAGAGGAAAATGAAGCACAGAGAGGTTCAGCAACTTGCTTATGGTCATTCAGCTAATCCGTGTCAGATACTAGAGGCAGGAAATTGGCTTACAGAACAAACTTTTGATTTTCCCTTTCTGTAGTCTTGCAATGACAATGACTGCCCATAGAAACCCCCATTCCTAGTGTCCTCGTAAATGGAGCACTTAGCCTTGGCACTCAATCAGATTAGCCCAGCCCCACACCAGGGATCCAGAATCCAGTGTCCTTTTATCATCATCCTTCTGTGAATAATGTTAATAAAGATAATAATATGTAGCATTTATATTGTACCTGCCAGGTACCAGGCATTGTGCTAAGTGCTTCATACAAATATTTACTCATTTGAGTCTCACAACAACCCTGTAAGGCAGCTGCTATTATTATCTCCATTCTACAGAAGAGGAAACTGAGGCAAACACAGGTTAAGTGACAGGTCACACTAGTGAGTGTCTTAGGCTAGTTAGATATAGTGTTGCTCTGATCCTGTGCCTCAATTCTAGTAACTAGGCTCTTGCTTTGTTCCTTGGGGCCAAGTGAATCAATCAACGAGCCAATCAACAAAACATTTGTTATTTTTTTGCAGTCACTTGGCTATCTTGAAGATACACAAGAAAAAACAACTCCTGCCCTCAAGGAGCTTACATTCTAATGAGAAAGATAACATTGTAATGCATACAGCTATATTTATGTATTACAATGTTATATATTCAGATATATTCAAAGCAGGTGGAAAGGAGGTTCCAGTAACTGAAGGCATGGGAAAGCTTCCCAAGAAACACTTCAGCTGAGTTTTGAAGGGATTATAGGAGGTAGAGAGGAGGAGAGAGCATTTTAGTGATGGAGGGCAGCCAGGGTAAGAACGTGGAGAAAGGAGATGGAGTGTTTTGTGCAAGGAGCAGCAAACAGGCCAGTACGACTGGACTGGAAAATTTGTGGAAGGGAGTGACGTGATATATAAGAAGACTGAACAGATAGGAAGGAGCCAGATGGTGAAGAAGTTTCAATACCCAACCAAGGACTCAGAAGCCATACTCTTCCATTGATATTATTAGGGAGATCTCAACACTCCTTGCAGACCACGTCAGTCAGTCAGTAAACATTCATTAAGTGCCTGCTATGGGCCAGGCACAATGCCAAGAGTGGGGATACAAGGAAAGGCAAAAGACAATCCCTGCCCTCAAGGAGCTCACAGTCTAAGGGGGGAAACAACATACAAACAACTATACGCAAGCAAGAGCTACGCAAGATAAATTGGAGGTAATCAGCAAAAAGAAATACCTAGAATTAAGAAGGAATCATAGGGGCAGCTAGGTAGTGCAGTGGATAGAGCAGTGGCCCTGAAGTCAGGAGGACCTGAGTTCAAATTCGCCTCAGACCAAACACTTGACACTTACTAGCTGTGTGACCTGGGCAAGTCACTTAACCCCAATTGCCTAAAAAAAGAAAAGGAAAGAAAAAGAAGGAATCAGAAAAGATTTCCAGTAGAAGGTGGGATTTTATTTGGGACTTTAAGGAAGTCAGAGAAGCCAGGAGGCAGAGATGAGGAGGGAGAGACTTCCAGGCATGAGGAATAGACAGAGGTAAATGCCCTGAGTTGGGATATGGAAGGTCAAACAGTATTTGGTTTCTCTGGCAAGCATCCCAGAAGCCCATGAAGAATCCTTGTCATGCTTGGCAGCATCCATCAGAGAGTTCAATAGGATTGGTTTAAATAGAAAACAATTGGACTGAAGCACATGAATTCCCAACTTGGATTTGCTCTTGGCCTTGTGATTCACATCTCTGGCCACACGGAAACTCCCTGCACAGAGTTGCTTGTTCAGCCTGGCCGGGCTAAGCAGAGATACCTCGGCACAGCAGCTATTTCAGAGACTCTGCCACCGCATGTGACCGCCTGGAAGGTGTTGTTTGTCCTTCCTTCTTGAAGAGGCCCAATGACATCAGGAAGGTGATGTCTTGACTTGCAAGTGAATTGGATTTACGTGAGGCAGAGCTGTGCAAAGTCACCAGCCTCACTCTCTCCTCCAGAGCCATGTGAATCCAATGGCAAGACATAGATCAGGATAACTAGAGATGGCCCTGGATGCAGACGGAGACCTTGGCCTTTTTAAGTGAAGGTCTTTCCCAGGTCTCACTTTGTCTGAGACTATTCTCATTCAGTAATTAAGGCTAGGTAAGATGAGGCAAAAAAAAAAAAAAGGCCTCTTTTACCTACTTTAAAAAAAAAAATCAGTCTTGGAGGGGGAGACCCTCAGGACCTCTATATGGCCTAGTGGAAAGAATTCTGTCTCTACAGTCAGAAAATCTGAGTTCAAATTATGCTGCGGGTGCTTCCTGCCTATGTAACCTTGAGAAAGCCACTTGATCTCTCTGTCCTCAATTTCCTTGTCTTTAAAAATGAGGGGATTAAATAAATGAATAAAAAATGTTTAAAAATGAGGGGATCAGACTAGCTGGTTTCTGACCTATGTCTCTAAACCTATGACCTGATCCCATCTACTGAGTACACAGGGGAGTTTTTGAACAGGACTTTCATGGCCTGGTAAATGAATTCAATCGGTCCTTAAGCCAGACGGGTTTGGGGAGAGAGGCACTACTGATAAAGCAGATGTTCAGGCCAGGCAGCAGGTCAGGTGATCAAAGGGAGAAGGGCAGGCTCTGCTCCTCTAATCAATGGAAAAGTTGTTTCCTCCAGGGTTACTTTACCTGCTGGCAGACATGCCAGAAGTGTATCATGTGTGGAACTCAGCCCTATCACCGAATCCTAAGACTTTACTTAGGGAGAAAAGGGAAGAAAAAGAGAAAAATCAAGCTCCTCTTTGACAGAATGTCTCCTATTTACCAAAGGGTTTCACAACAGCCATCATAAGTAGACAGTGACCTAGCAGAAGTCAAGCCAGGATTCAAATCCAGATTTCCTGGCACAGTGGAAAGAATACTGAATTTGAAGGAATCAGCATAGAGTCTAAGGGACTGAGTTTGAATTCCAGAGATGCAATTTATCATCCTTACGACCCTGAGCAAATCACTTAATTATTTGGGGCCTCAGTTTTCCCATCTGTAAAATGGGGAGACTTGTATCAATCACCAATTTCAGTTCCTTGGACATGATGCTCCATCACTCATCTCCAGATTTTTAACTGTCCCTCATGTCTCCTTTACCTCTGCTTATTAGTGTCCCTGACTTCCTTCAAGACTCAGCTCCAATGCCACCTTCTGCAGGAAACCTTTCTCAACCCTGTGTACTAATACATTCCTGCAGTGGTGTGTCAGAGCTGAGAGCTGATTGTTAAATATTCATTGTGAGCCTTGACACCTCAGAAATCTGCAAACACTACAAATCAGGGATTGATTTATTATTTTGTCGATTGTCTAGACTTACCAGAGTGATGGAAAAAAATGTTAATAATACAGATTAAACTTAAAAGTGGTACATACATTTTCCACACTCACCCCCAGAGCGCTGGTTCTTAAACATTTACCAGCATACTCCTCCTTCCTGTCTCAGAGTATCTTCCTTCCACTCTGCATACATCTTGTATCTACTTGGTTCATACATTATTCCCATTGGAATGCAAGCTCCCTGAGGACAGAGACTATCTTTTTGCCTTTCTTTGTATCCCTAGGATTAGAAGAGTACCTGACATATAGTATATGCCTAACAAGTGTTTTTTGATGATTAATGAGGACAAGTAGGTGGTACAGTGGTTAGAGTGCCAGGCTGAAACTACAAATGGAGTCATGAAGAGTTGGATACAACTAAAAACAACCGAAGAATAATACTGTAGTCTATTAAATATGCAATGGTTATTGTTGTTGTTCAATAGTATTATGTCTAAAAACAATGTACATGCCTTAAGTAAAAAATACTTTATTGCTCAAAAATGCTAACCATCCTCTGAGGCTCCAACGAGTCCTAATCTTTTCACTGGCGGAGGATCTTTCCTTGACGTTGATGGCTGCTCACTGATCCAGGTGGTGGCTGCTGAAGGCCCATTTGGCTGTGGCAATTTCTTAAAATAAGACAATGAAGCTTGCCCCATTGATTGACTCTTCCTTTCACTTGAACAGTTAGAGGACATCATAGGGTTACTAATTGGCCTAATTTCAATATTATATCTCAAGGAAAAGGGGAACCGCCCCTCAGTGGAGCAGTCAAAACACACACATTTATCAATTAAGTTCACCCTCTTCTATGGGCATGGTTCATGGCACCCCAAAACAGTTATAGTAGTAACATCAAAGATCACTGATCACTATAAAAGATATAATAATAATGAGAAAGTTGGAAATATTGCAAGAATTACCAAAATGTGACCACATGCCGTTGGAAAAATGGCACCGACAGATTTGCTCAATGCAGGGTTGCTACAAACCTCCAATTTGTTTAAAAAAACCTCAGTGTCTTCAAAGCACAATAAAGGAAACTGCAGTAAAATGAGGTATGCCTATAATTCAAGATTCTGCTGTGTAGGGTGGAGTTAGGTCCTTCTACGTGGTCTGCAAAAGCTAAAAGGAGATCATGTGCTTCTGGTGCTATTTATAACTAGGGTCAACTACCACCATTCTGTACCCTACCCAGTAAAAAATAGGACAAAACACTGAGATAAAGGACAATCCCATATATTCATGGAATGCGGATGTTCTTGCCATTAACTTCTTGATTATGAGGCAAAGCAATATCTAATTGGGTGCCAAGCAAATATTGTGGCCAGGAGAAACAGGCCCATTGAGGGGTAGATTGATGGGATAGCCCCAAGAATACAGGAGTAACTGGAGTTCTATAGGATGGAGACAAAAGGATGAAGTTCCACTACCATTCATTCTCTTTCCCAACTATCCGAGTGCCCTTGGCCAACTCTTGTCACCTGGTGTTAGCCCATTTTACCCTTTGGTCTATTCTATGAATCCTCCCAAAACTATATCTATTGATGAGGTTCCACTTTCCCCGAAACCTTCATTCAGATTCAGATGGGGAGCTGCCTGCTGGGGTTTGTAGTCACTGCTGCTCCCAACTCTACACACAGCTTTGGCCATTCCCCAATGGATAATGACATCCCCACTAAGGTCTGCAAATAGTTCTCCTTTCTCCTTTTCGCCTTTCTCTCTCCTCACAGGGGATCCCAGTGTCTGTGCCATCTCCAACCCAGACTTTGTCATCTACTCCTCAGTGATTTCCTTCTACTTGCCCTTTGTGGTGACTCTCCTCATCTACGCTCGGATCTATGTGGTATTGAGAAGAAGGAGGAGGAAAAGGATTCTCACTCGGCAGAACAGTCAATGCATTAGTGTCAAACCTGACTACCCCCCACAAGTAAGAACCCTATTGGATCCCAGAAAGGCCATAGGAGGCATCACCTGCCCCAACAGCCTGCCCATTTTGGTGGTCCATCAGTCACCATTCTAGCCTGCCATTTTGCAAGTCCAAGTCCAGATCCTATTCTCCCATCTAATAGGTGCTGACTGCACTTCTGAAGCAGAACAGACATTTCCCCCAAAGAGTTGAAGAAATCACCAGAATCTAACAATAGGTCTAGTGAATCCACCTTAATGGGCATGATTTTGGGCAAGATCTGGCTGTTCCACTTTTCTCAGAGGCCATTCCTCACTGAAGAATGGAAACCAGGAAGAGACACTAGCTTTGGAATCAGAGAAACAGATTGCAAGTCCCAGCTCTGCCCCTTACCCAATGCAAGTCCTTTAATAAGTCACTTCACCTAAGTCTCAGTTTCCTCATCTGTAAAACGGGTTAGGGTTAGGGTTAGGGTGTTACCTGCTTCACAGAGCTGTTGTAAGGAAAACATTTTGTAACCCTTATTTATTATTTTTATTGTAAGAAATGATTTCTTAATATAAATATGAGGATTCAATCTCAGGGCACCTTTTAAGAGTTGCTGGGGCTAGTGGCAAATTCTTTTCTGGCAAAATCTGCCACTGTAAGAAGGTAATGGCTACTAGATGAGATGGGCTAGATGTGCTAGAAAAATGCAGCTTCTGGGCTCAGAAAAGGAAATATCTTTGCCTTAAGGGTACACTTCTAATTGCTCCTGAAGTGAGGTAGAAAGAAATTGTTGCCACACAGCTATAGGCAACTAGGTGATATGATGGATAGAATGCTGAGCCTGGTCAGGAAGACCTGAGTTCAAATCCAGCCTCAGCTACTTTCTAGCTGTGTGACCCAGAGCAAGTCACTTAACCTCTGTTTGCCTCAGTTTCCCCATCTATAAAGTGGGAATAATAATAGCACTTGCCTCCCAGGGTTGTTGAGAGGATCACATGAGATAATCATTATAAAAGTGCATGGCACATGATAAGTGCTATGTAAATGCTAGCTATTATCATCATCTATCAGGTATCCTAAGAATGTGGATATGAAAAAGAAGTTTTAATTTTTAGTAATCTCAAGCCAAAATTTAGCATTTCTTTCCACTATGAAGGTAGGCAGCAAACATTATTCTGAGAAGGGGGACCATGGGCACCACCAGAATTGGCCAGAGGAACCTACAACATAAAAACATTAAGAACCCCTTGCCCTGGGTGGGGAGGGGGTATGGCACATTTGTTCTTGGGCTTCACATGCAGCACTCACAGATAGGAATGATAACAACTAGAACAATTGATCCCCTGTGGGGTCAATGGAAAAAACCACTGGATTTGGAATCAGACCTCGGTTTGAATCTTGACTTTGCCTCTTATTACCAGTAGAACCTTGGGCAAATCACTTCATCTTTCCAGGGCTTAGTTTTCTCATATATTTTTACAGTCTGGCAGTTGGATTACATACTCTCTCAAATCTCTTCCAGCTCTCAATCCTTTTATCCTAATGCCTATTATGTAAAAGCTCCTATGTTAGGTGCTATGTGGTACACAATGGGATATCAGACATCATCCCTCCCTGCCACTTTTCTGCCCTGTTCCACTGGGCTTTATATTGGGAAGCTAGAGGGATGGGGGAAGTGGCCATCTGGCCACCTGCCCAGTAGTCAGTTTGGGACTGGCTACCTGAGTTCTGCATGCACGTGTGTATGTGTACCGCTCCCCCCTCACACATACAATGAGCATTGGAAGGCCTTTTTGTTGCCTCCATGACCTCCTGGTTCCTTTCTTTCTCTCTGCTGCATATTTATTTATGGTTTGTAGCACCAGTTTGAGGTGTAATTCTGTGCTTTTGAAGAGAAAACAGCAGGCTGGGGAGGCTCTTTGGGGCTAAGAGTGCCTTATTTTGTTGTTTAATGTTGGATATGGAGGAAAGTGAATGTGTTTTTCCATTCCCCTCTCCCTGGGTTGATGGTAAATTGTAAGAAACTGTAGAGATTAAACATAGAGCCCTGTTTTAAAAAAATACAATCTAATCGAAGAGGTTAGACACAGTAAGTTAAGGGGAAAAGCTCCATTTTAGAAGTCATAAGACTTCTACAAATTCTAGCTCTGACTTTGTCACTAACTCATCTTATGACTCAGAGAAAGTCATTCTTTAGCTGTAAAGAGGTGTCTAAGGCAGGAGTGTCAGACTCAAATAGAAAGGAATTCCTTTAGGCTGCATATTGATTTAGAAAAAACACAACTTGGCATTATCTATGTTGTACTGCATTTTTTATTTATTTTGTACACATTTCCCAATTATATTTTAATCTGGTTCAAGCTGTCTGGGCAGCTTCTATCTAGGTCCTGACTATGATACCTCTGCCCTAAGGTCTTTTCATATCATACTATGACTGTATACATGGAAAGTTAAATAACTCGTACATTTGTTAACAAGTATAACTAATCGTAAAGCAGCATTTAATAAGTATCACATGACCCAAGGTCTACATTGTCTACAAGGACATCTTCATGCCTTACTGGCTTCTTAAATTATGCAAGTAGAGAAAGGCTTATCAATCATAGGCTAGTTTCTGGGTAAAAGATTCGAGTTGAAGGAGAATTAGAAAAAGAAATTACAAATAAGGAGATTTAAAGGGTTTGGGAATTGTGAAGATGACCAGAGACAGAAATTTGAAGAGAATAAATTTGAAAGGACTGGTACTAAAGACAAGGTAGGAAGAGGAAGAAGTTAGTTTAAAAGGGAATGGGGTGGGGGGAGAGAGAGCTAGATATGCTAATGAAGTAAAACAAGTAATACTTTGGCAGTCATTACCAATGAAATCAAGGGAGACTAGGAAGAACGATAAAGAACAGAGGACATCCAAGATATTGGAGAAAGACGAATGAAAGGAGGTAGGCTCCTCACATACCCCATACAAAACACAATAAGTATATACACCAAAGAGAAGAAAAATGCCTAAAAATGAACATATACAAGAAAATATAAACCAACCAAGATTTAGAATGAGAAAAAATGTTAAGTATGCCAGTCCAATACCAAAATATTGCTGAATGACCAAATCAACTGAATGGTGATGGATAAAGATAGAGAGGGATAAAGAAACGATTCAGGAGGGAGGAGGTAAATTTTAAAACTCAAAATCTTATAAAAGTGAATGTTGAAAACTAAAAAATAGTTAATTAATTTAAATAAATAAATGATTCAGTATATCCCAAAGCAAGGGATAAACGGCTCATTCAAAGAAATTATTTAAGAACTAGAAATACCAATAAACTAGCAAAATTAAATAAAAGGGGAGCTTTATAAAAAGCTTTTTCAAAAAATTACATGAGGCCAATTGAAAATTTAAAATACCCCCAAAAAACAAGAGGAAATCATGAAGAAAATCATGACCAACATGGAGACTTCCTCCCAATCTGTAGATTTATGTGTAGATTTTTCTTACAACAGAAAACAGAGCCCATAAATACAGAGCAATTAAGAATATTGGCTCAAAAAAAAATCATTGAATTGTCAAAACTATTGAAGAACATAGAGATCAAAGTTATAGGCCTGGAAGATACACTATAATCTTGAAAAAAGATCTTAATTTAGAAAGATCAAGGTCACCCAAGCCATTGCCAACCATCTTGACTTTGCTTTCCAACGTTCTTTGATGTCTCTGGAGAAGAAGATGAGGCTGGTGACTTTGCATAGTTTTGTCTCACTTACGTGCAGTTCACACACAAGTTAAGACATTATCTCCTGGTGTCAATAGTCCTCTTTGAGAATCTTCATTCTCAACAACATTCTGAACAACAGCAACAACAGAATTTCAAGGTTACTACCATCTCACAGAATTTAAAAGAATCTAGGAAAGTCTTAACACTCTATTTCGAGAAACTGTCCAAGAATATTTCCAAGAAATGGCTAAAACAATTTATGAAATGTGTGTAAGAGAGTGATCCTTGAAAGCCCAGTACCTAATATCAGAGAAGTGAGGACAGTGGGGCATCAAGACCAGAGTTCTTAACCTCTTCTGTGTCATGGACCCCTTTAATAGTCTGGTGAAGCCTGCATATCCCATCTCAGAAGAATGTTTTTAAGTGTATAAAATAAATTACATAGAATTGGTAACTAATTATATGATATATAGTACATGTAATACAACATGTAATATACAGTTATCAAAAAATGTTTTTTAAGCCGAGTTCATGGAGGTCACGTTAAAACCCCCTGTGTTAAACTAACCAAAAAAGATTTAGCCACAGCACGTTGATCTTTTTATGAAGTGGCAATTAGTTTCTTGAATGACTCAGAAAGGAAAAAAATACAACAGGATAAAGAATGATAGGTCAGACATTTGGGTGACCTTTAAAAGTCAGTTTACATTGTCTAGGAGAGAGACTTAGAAAGAAACCCAGGTCCTAATGGAACAAGCAGAAAAACATGACACCAGAAAAAGGCAAATGGAACAAAGAGTACAGAAGAATAAGCAGAGGAAACTGCCACAAACAAGGTGGGCCAAGACTCCAGGACCCAGTACAAGATGTTTTGGGAGAAAGGTTGTGTTGCTGAAACCTCTAGATTGTAAAACAAAAGCTAATTTTCCAGTATCTCCTTTCTCTCTTTCAAATCCTTCACAGGGGCCTGAAGTCTTTTCCTCTTGGGGTATGTGTGTGTGTGTGTGTGTGTGTGTGTGTGTGTGTGTGTGTGATGTATGTATATACATATATTCTCATTATCTTTGATGTAATTTTCTCTTCTTTTGATAATTTCTTGTTTCACTGTTATTATTTAATAAGGCGCTTTTTTTTTTGGTTTCCATATGGATTCCTTGATCATTGTATCATGATTTACTATAGTTTCATTTCATTGCTTAGAATTGCTGATCTTCAACATTGTCTATCTTCTCTTAGCCTAGGACGTCATGAAGTGTATGGTATTTGAGCAGAACTTTAAGAGGCAACAGCAATTACAAGGGGTAGAAACAAGGGAGATGAGAAAGA